TTCAAATAATTCTGGATCCGCCCCTGAATACCAAGATTAACTACGAAGTACGTGTACGTTTAATAAATACTGTCTCTGGCGTACTATACGCACTCGCATGCAAGAACAATAAAGTCACCGACATCCGCCGCCACACAAACAGACTACACCTATTCCCTGTGCTACTACAGTAACTATGGAAACCTGTCCTGAGATTTGTATAGGCAAATGTTAGATCTTTTGCTGGCACAGAAGATCACTCCTAAATACTCACACGGCTATATCTATAGCTTTTATAAAGGGTAATTCTTCTGAAGTTTTCCTGAATATCATCCCTTTAAAGGTTAAATGAGTTTAGCCAAGAAAGTGGCCTACTTAACAACTAGCTGGCCCAAAGTAAAAGATCTCGAATAGTTGTCAAAATTGGGTAAACTTTTGCAGATTAGTGTGATTTCGGAGAAGATGAAAGTACTGGAATCAAAGACAAATGATGAATTTACTTGCTCCATCTTTGTAGTGCTTACTTTTTTTGTAACTCTGTCAGAATATTACTTCTACTACAAAGAGAGAGAGAGAGAGAGAGAGAGAGAGAGAGACGCTATTTCTACATAAGATTAAAACTGCAAATGAGCAAAAAGCTTAATTTTTTGTGAAAGAAAAGTTGTTTTGTGTGTGTGTGTGTGTGTGTGTGTAATCTGTGTCGGTGTTACATTATATAAGTATTTATTTGCCTTTCAAATCGTTATTCTCCTACTGGTTATAACAAGATAACAAAGATGAAGATGAATGTTCACTGACTCAATAACATACATAAAAATCATCATGAATTATCCGAGTTAATGAAAGCGAGATCTGGAGCAAAAATAAAAAGCCGTCTCCAAGACATCTGGACGCCCCCCTCCCCCCCTCCCCCTCCACAATACCCTGTTTTCAGCACCATTATAAATAGACTTCGAGAGTTCAGAACTGACGGTCAAAATCTGATTATAATCATCGTTTTGAATGAGCAGTAATAAAAAGAACTGAGTGAAACCATTTCTGGCAATCAAGTAAACAAAAGCTGAAAGGATATAAGCTGAAAGGATATAAATATTTTTTGCGTTTAATATTATGGTCATTTAATTTGCATCAGTACTTGAATTACACGTAAGCTTACATAAAAGGAGATCTAATAACAGAAGTCCAGTAACAGACACACCCTTCCTCGTCTTAATACACGTATCTACACATTAATTGGACCACAGAGGGCAGCACTGGGAAAGTCCGATGCGTTTATTTTTTAACGTAAAATAGATAAAACTAGAAAAGCACTCAGAGAGCGCAGACCTCCGCCAAGGGAGGAAAGTCTCCATCCAATGCCGTTTTACCCCTAGATTTTCATTCTATAATGATTTAGTTTTTTATTTTTGATTATTGATTGATGGTTGATTGTTGATCCGGATCACCACCAAAAACTAACCATCTGTTCCTTGGCCCCATTCTGACAGTTCCAGAAAATTTTAATCAAAATCGGTCCATAACTTAGTTTTTTATTTTTGATTATTGATTGATTATTGATCCAGATCACCACCAAAATCTAATCACTTCTAAGTTAACCGATTTCTGACCTACCCTGAAAATTCCATCGAAATTCAGCCATAACTTTCTGAGTTATGTTGAAGACAAACAAACAAACAAACAGGGGCGAAAACATAACCTCCTTGGCGGAGGTAATAAGAAATATTAAACGAACAATTGTTTTGAGGCAATTTTAATTTTGTTTTAACAAACACACATTTTAATATGTTCCTTAAGCAGAATACATATATCTAAACTACTATCTCTGTGTCAGTTATTAAACTTATCACACACGTATGAGTTGCAGAAGATACAGGTACATCTAATAATGTAAACGGAGGTGTAGATTGCCAATAAAAATGAAGCTGATGTCGGTAACTCATTCAAAATACAGAACATAGCACAAAACAACTTGCACAAAAGTTTACGAACATCACGGAAGGATTTATTGGGGAGGGGAGGGGCGAGGGCCATCCGTGCAAACTGAAGCACGCGAGCTACAGTAGGATAATGCTCGCCTGCCACGCAGGCAGTCCGGTGTCATGTACCAGAAGGTCCCCCATGAGACAAAGTCCGTAGGATCCCTGGTTTCTGAAATAACGGGTCTCGGACTCTGTATCATGGAAATTAGGTATAATATACAGCCCCCCTGGACCCTGTATTTAACCGGACCCTACGTTATATGACACCGGTATTGATATCAATCACGCTCGTTACACGACGAAACGTCTCAAGCAATGTGAATAAATTATAATAATCTTGAAGCTCCCGCCTAGAAATTCTCTGCTCTATTTATTCATGATTTTACACGAGACTACGCCTTTCCTCGTGGTAATTTCCACAAGATTCCACTCATCTTTTTTAATTACCCTCAAAACTAAATTTCATATACAATGTAGTGACCTTCACGTCAGTCGAAGTCAAGAAAAGTCCGATGCGTGTAATTCTTAAAAATAAAAGATATAATATACCAATCGTTTGCTTTGATGCTGTTAAAAACTTGCGGAAACAATTAGAAAACTGGAGTGAAGGAGAGGGAGCCAATGTTATTCTCGGAAATGATGATAAGAAAATAAATCTACTAATCTCTCAGGTAAAGTAATACATTTACAGAAATAAAAAATGGGGGGCATCCGTAATTCAGGGACATCGAATGTTTTCTAAAAGTATTTATTTGCTTGTCTTTATATGTATTTATTTTATACAGTAGTTACACGTAGCACGCAATAAAGTGACATGGTAGGGTAAACGGATATGTATTTAAATGCGTATGTTTTTGAGAAATGTATATGTGAGAAGTGATTTGTATTGTATTGTACATTATAATGCTTATTTCTTAAGTCTAATTAAAAAAAATACATTCTATTTCGAGACATACATCTTTAATAATGGTTACATAGAATACATTGATCATATGTTTCTGAGAGCGTCCTTAAACTTATTACAGGCATCTGTAAGTAGCAGGAGAACGAGATGTGTAATTTAAACGAATCTGTAGATTATTACTTTTCCTGAAATCTGTATTTGCAACTTATTTGATATATTTGCACACACTTATAGAAAAGTGTACGACTACCAGGGTGGTATTACTAGGTAGTGTGTCGAGAAATGTGGGTGGGGGTCAATACACAGGGAGGGGTGTCCCTTTAGGTAACACTCTTACGTACATTCCAAGCCATTGAATTGTCTCTTAAAATGGACCGGTACAGTAAAAGGTATCACTCTTCAGAAGACGACCTCAATTCAGACTCAAACGATAACTCTAACCTGTCATCTCAGTTTACAATCTTTGAGAACTGTCACAGATAAAAAGTTCGTAAACTGGCAACTCACATACATGTATCACATATTGCCTTTAAAACTTCGAAACTAAATCACTGCATAGCCAAGAAAAGCATATATAAGTTATGCACTGCTCCTGTCCGTAATGAATACACTAATACTACAATACAAATATGCTGTACGGAGCCGAAGGTGAGGAGGGCAGCCAATCATGACCAATGGGCAGTCCTACTCTCCTCTAGGGGTCGGCTGTGGGACGGGTGGCGTTTTATTATTTTTGTTTTCAATGTTTCTTGCTGGACAACACAAAAACTGGTGCAGAATTGGACAGAAAAATAGCTGCGTGGTCCTGGTAGGGGTTACTACTGTCCTTTCAACATTACAAGCGAGACTCCACTCCAGCTGATTCTGATGCTGTCTCAACCATGATTGTGACTGGTTCCACAGATATCACCCACAGATATCATTGTGTTAGTGAAGACATAAAGTGAGACGGGGAGGGGAGGGAGATAGCATGTACGTGTATTGCAATGATTGGAGTGTTTGAAGGGGAATGTGGTGG